ATATATATATATATATATATATATATATATATATATATATATATATATATATATGTAAAAGAAATTGCTCAGTATCTGTAAGAAAATGAAATCTATTAAAGTCACTGAACATGAAAGGAGTTGGGGTTTGACCTAGGTTACAACTGTGAATCATTTGAGTTATAAGGATGTTAAAAACCTGTTAGGATCAAGGGATTTTATATAAACAGCCTTGGAGTTCTTCATATACAGGTATAGTCACTGAACACACCACTGAAAATTTCACCCAATAGCCCAAGTGAAGTTTTGAGCTTTAGTCAGGTACATCTAAATTCTAAGTGACCAACAAACCACACTTCAGGCACTTTAGCTATGGGTACCCACATACACTAACTCACCTCAAAGGTTAAAATTTTTCTCCATGGTATTGGTTTTCTTCCATTCTCTGATTCTATAAATGGGAACTGAGGTCTTTTATCCTTAAATTGTTTCTTATTTATTCGTGACCTAGTGTTTTTCCTTCCTTTTGGTCTTCCCCTTGGTCTTCCTGTTGGCTTGTATTTCTTCTTTTTACGTTTCTTTTTCTTGAATCTTTCAAAAATAGCTTTTAAAGTCAATGGTCTTGGTTCTAAAGATGAGTCACTGGATGAATCGCTTGCTTGAACACTTTCAAGTGAATGAACACATTTTCTAATAGGATTTCTTTGCCTCCGTTTAGGTGAGGAAGGAACACATTGAGTTTTAAATAAGCTGCTACCAGAGGAAGAGTTATCACTAGGAAAAAAAGGGAGGAAATTAATTGTATCCTCTTTATATAACTGAATGCTTATTACCAGTTACATGTTTCTTCCAAAAACTAAAGCAGGAAAACCTGCTCAGGCCTGTGTAAACCAGGTTTTTCCTCTTTTCCTAATCCTTGAAAATTACCTTTACCACTACTCATTATCTGCAATGATTTACGCTTTCCTGGTAATTCAAATACAGTAAACATCATCAAATCTCGTGTTTTCTAGTAAAAATATGATGGTTGCTATTGATATCAAAAGCACTTACCTTTGATTTTCAATTTCCATAGCTGAATCAGATACTGTTACATAGTCCAAAGAATCCATTCCTGATGTCTTCAAGTCCCTCTCAAAATTGCTGACACTTGTTCTTTGCTGGCACCAAATTTCTGACAACATAAAATACAGTGTATTTGATGTAGTTTCCCTGAACAAATAAAGGCCAGCACAAACAGCTAGTATCCAAACTATGCAAAATTTGATGTAGTCAGATTATGCCATTATATATAAATTAAGGCACAGTCCTTTACAAGGCCTTTAATATTTTCATGTAAGAACCATCCATTTCAGATCAAATCCTAAAATCCAGAAATTTGATTGATGGGGTGTATCTTTCAGTTGTGCCTCTAAAGCTACCCAGTGGAACAAGATTCTAGAAAAATGTCATTCCCCCAAAAAATATCAAACATATTTCCTTAACAGGAAAAAATATAATTTTATCATTAGCCATATTACAATTAATGGCTCAAACGCCATTTTCCAAGAGCAGATGGGAACGCCTAGAAAAGTTTTACATACAAAGCCAGAAGGCAGTGTGGGCTCAGTATACCAGGAAAAAGAATTATGATTTACTATCTCAATCCAACAAACTGCTTTTAAACTCCTGGTCTGGGATTTTCATTTATGGCCTTTTCCCATTCAGAATGATTTAACAAAAATCACTGCAAAACCTCTTTCTTGGCATATCTCTTTGTCATTATGGTTAAACGTTCTGGATTCTCAAGCTTCAATGAAGCTTTTAGATGGAAACAATGATATCCTTAGTATTCCTTTTAAAAAACTCCTTGAAGCCCAGCCGGGCGTGGCTCAGCCGTTGAGCATCCACCTAGGATCCAGGTGATCGGGGTTCAATTCCCGGTCAGGGCACATGCCCAGTTGCGGGTTTGATCAATGACTCTCCCATCATTGATGTTTCTATCTCTCTCTCTCCCTCTCCTTTCCTCTCTCCGAAATCACTAAAGATATATTTTTAAAAAAACAAAACACTCCTTGAAGATTTTACAGTAGTTTGGGAAAATAATTTAAAATTAAAGATGACAATTTAATATTGCATCTCCCTTATAGAAGACATCATCATTCTTCCATTTTTGTATTGTTCATAGTGTTTAACATACTTGACAATGACCAATTAATCAAGATGAAAGGAATCTTATAACAAAATATTTCAAAAATATGATAATCAACAGTGTGATAGGCAGACATACATGAGCAGAGCAAGGAGGAAGTGCAATTGTCTGCCTAGCAACAGACAATCTTAGGGTGGGACCTTGCCCCCAGGGAGGCCTTTTCTCCCCTAGCATATCACTGCTCTGTGGTTTGGACCCCCTGACCTTCCCTCCTTGTATTTCAGCTCCAGGCCCAGAAAAGCAACAAAACCAGCCACAGGTGACCTCAGGACCAGCTGCACTGGATAATGACCTCCCGCTCTGGGACCTCCCCTAGAACTCTTAGGAGGGAAGACCCAGTGCGCAGGCCGCCAGCGCTGCGGGCCCTTCTTGTTAGCATTAGCTTCCTCACTCCCAAGGTCCAAAAGCCTTTCCTTTACTTCTATAACTGGTATCCAAAGGCCATTTCTTCGAGGAATTGCTTCTTCCACCTCTGTAATTTTACGAAATAAACGTTCTCTTGCAGTCTGGGTCTTGGCTCTGAATTCTTTCCTAGTCAGAACCCAAGTACCGAGGTTGCTGAACCCAGGTTTCGTCTGACCCCATCAATCTAACACCTGGTGCCACCTGCAACCAATAAATCAACATAGATCTTAGATTTCTCAAAATGTCCAAAGGACTCACGTAATTTCATGATCTTACTGTAGTTTAAATGCAAAATCAAACCAAGTCATGAAATGCTCAACTCAAAGACGAAATTCAACAAAACTGGGTCTAATGGCACTGGCGGTATTCTTGAGGTTAAATTAAAAAAAAAAAAAAAATTCTTAGAACACTATCAAAGTGAAGAGTAGTTAACTCAAAACTCACTTTTCCGGCAACTTAGTTAGGAAGCATCCCGCCTAGAAGTCTCCCTCCCTGCCCATTCCCAGACGCCGCGAGGCCACGTGGCTGACAGCGCGCTCTACCGGCGCTGACGGCGTCTCCCCAACCACGAAGTGACCTTGGGGCGACTGTCTGAAGCACTTCACCTCAGGCAGAGACAGCCTAAGCCTTACCTCGCACTTTCTAACTCTGAACACCTGCACTTGTCTATAACATCTATTATTCACACACTGGATCACGCCCACACTACAATCACGTACGTGTGGGCCACGGCCCAACCACTAGACCCGAAGCCCACAAAGGCGAGACCTCCACCCTCAGGACCCGACTTCTTCGGCTCGATCCTGCCGAGCAAGGCGGGGTCCTCGGAGAAGATAGAGGTGCAACCCCTCCCTCACCCACCCACCAGGCCCAGGCGGCCTTGTCCTCTTCCTTACCCAATCCAGTCGGCAGGCGGCTGGCACCCACGAGGGCCGGCTCAGTGCCGGCCTCAGCTGCGTGCTCGCTGCCCGCAACCCAGGCCCGGGAGGTCTGCGCCCAGGGACAGCCCGACCGCAGCACTGACTGGCCCGCAGCAACCGCCTACCTCCGCAACTGCGCGACGAAAAGACCGAACCACCCGCGAGACCCAGCTAATAGTGGGGCCAAAACCTCGCGATAACAACTTAGCTCCGGAAGCAACGTGAGGGGCGGGAGTATGGGGGGCGCCATTTTGGTCTCCACGGAGGGAGGAGCGATTAAAAGTGGGCGGGGCCTGACCTCCCTCACCCCGAGGAGGCGGAGTTGACTGAGGCTGGTTTTGGGTGCAGGCTTTCCTAACCGACTCGGTAAGTGTTACAGCCGAGAACGTTTAGGCAAATGACAAAAACAAATTGCGGGGTCAAGTGAACGTAATGGATGTGAGTTGCGAGGAAAAAGCCACTCAGCCTGATTTGTT